AAATTTACCGATGTTTTGAATTGAAATAAAACTGTAAGTAGAAATCACACACCAAATTCATGTTAACCTGTGTACAGACTTCCTTGAGTGAATCACAAATGATCAGTCTGTATTATGACCACAACTGATGGTAGCAATTTAATCTCTAGGATGTTTTTCAATGGGCTGCCAGTAACCACTTGATAAATGTGACAATCTACAATTTCAAATAACAACTGCAAATATATGAGAACAGTGTTCAGTTTTAGAAGTGGAAGGAAAAACTCCACATGAATATTATAGAGAAAAACCAACAAAGTTAAGTAAAGACTGAACAATCCACACATTAAACCTGGGCTGGACTCACAGAAGTGGAAGGTGACAAAAGTGTCACTATGCCAACCTGACGCCCCATTCTACCAGTCCACTTTTCATTGCTGAGCCAAACCAACACTGACACCAAAATAAACCTTCAAGACCATATAGTTATGTACAGCATAATTCTGATTCACGTTGGTTGAAAGAGCTACATTTTCCCAGTGAACATAATGGTCTGGGCAGTTAGTGGGGAGGCTGTGGCTGGGACAGCAGCGCTGCTGTTGTCATGGGGATGTCTCCAGCAGCTGCATCAGTGTCTGCTGTCTCATGCGTCAGTGCCTAATATCTCCTGCATCCTACATCCTCTTCTGTTGCTTCTCCTGCAGCTCCTTCTGGATCTTGTAGATCTTCTAAGCCAAGAGGTAATAGTACTCCTCCTGTGACAAGACCAGGCAGCAAAAAACAAATGAGTGAATTAAAAAGTGAGCAAGGGTGAATGCTTTTCCAGGTGATTTTTCTGCAATGGACACTGGTCTTCCTTTGGGGCCACTCAAAATTTTCATTGTTTCTTAAATTTTGCCTTTTTTTTAAATAGTGGGTGGGTGGTTCAAGGAAAGAAACTGAAAATCGAAATTTACTTTTTTATAAAAACCCAGTAAAACTTATTTTTCTGACTTATTTGTAGTGTGCACACCACGCCAGCATTCCAAAAATGCAATCTTTTTCAACTTCATTTCCATATACAGACAGGTTGACCTTTCCAGTACATAATTATGCAAGTGTAAAAGATCATGGAAGGAGGTGGTTTTTACTCTTAGACTTTGAAGCTGGGCGCTTGCAGCAGTGACCAAATACAAATGTAGCAGGTTACCAGGTGTATTACATGTATAGTGAACGCTGAACACCATTTGCTAATAGATTTTTCCATGCATTTGAATTTATATCAAATGCACGCATAATGTACATGTACTGGATGAAAAATCAATTCTTTAAAGTCAAAATTGCAGGTGGGTGGGTGGGTAATCAAAAAAATTTGGCAAAAAGTCAAAATTTAAAAACATTAAAAATTTTGAGTGGCCCCTAATCTGTACATGAACCGTCAGTGAGAATGACTCTGATGAGATACTTGACAAACACCTGCACTTCTCTAAGAGTAGGAGGTGTCTTTGTACATCATACAGAATTACATGTAGTTGTTTGTGAGGCTAAGTTCAACCTTCCATAAAGTCAAATATTAGGTTCTATTCCAATTTCCAACAAACATCAGCAACCAATATATTTCTGTTTGTTCATCTGAGCAGTTTTTCCCCCTGAGTTTCAGCAGAGGGATTTGTCTCCTACTTAAAGACGTTTGTTCCTAATTGGTGATTTATTCCCTCAGTAACCATGGTAACAGCAGGATCACAAATCATGAGAAAATGAACACTGCAAGTCAGAGTAATTTGGCCTTATTGCTGGACATATGCATAGCTACTACAGTGTACATGTATACCGGTATTAGTCTACAGAACTAGCAATGAAGTCACTAGAGTATCTTTATGCGCCTTGAGGGACTATGAATGATCAGTTAAGTTAGAATTCAGAGGGGAAAACATTGGCAAAGAGCAAATAGATGGGGTGAAATGTGTATGTATTTTAAAAGCTAAGGGTAGGCCAACAAAAAGACTCAACACCTCTCAAAACTAAATGATCAGTTATCTACATACCTCCTCGATTTGAAGCATGGACTATTCAGGAACAGATTTCTTCAAAAATTTAGACTGTTGGAGCCTTAGTTATGTCACAATTGAGAGGGGAAAAGTTCTGCAAATGCGAGAAGGTGAAATATTTCCAAAGTGAAGGGTAGAACAATGAAAAGACTCAATAACTCTCTAACTAAATGACCAAATATCTAACATGTCTAAGTACCTGCATGATTTGAAACGTGGACTATTTACAAACAGATTTCTTTACAAATTTAGACTGTTCAAGCTTTCCCAGTGGGCACACAACGCGTGAAAGACGTCTTTTTGTGGTCGTTATATGGTCCTGTGTCGCAAAGTGGTTGTGACAAAAAAAAACCGACATCTTAAAGACGTCTTTTATCCTCTGTTAGAAACATTGCTTCAGCAACCATGACCACAAAAAAACATGACGTCTTTATGACGTCATTTTGCCGTCGTTATCGAATCATTGGTACCACGCATACAGTGAAAGGAGAAAACAACGTCTTAACAACGTCTTTTTTTTCTCTGTTTGAAATGTTATCATCAACAAGCAATACATGAAACACACAACGTCTTTACGATGCCATTTTACAGTCGTTATCAAATCGTCAACGTACAGCAGAAAAAGAAAAATATCTACATATTCTTATGAAGATTTTGCACAGTGACTTTTAGTTTGTCTCGAATTTTGCGGGTTCTCACTCGGTTTTACCACAAAAGGTCAAGTCCCGCCAGAACATTGGCATACAATGTATTGCGGAATCCCGCCTGCGGCCGCAGGTGACTGTTCTGTTTGCCTCATCTATTTGTCAAGAGGGATGTGTGAGATAACAATAGTGCGAATGTCCATTTTACAGGGAAATTTTAACACAAGAGGAATCGTAAGTGTGCTTTAGTACACATGCTTGTGCTTGATGATTATTTGCAATGGAACTGACCAGTAACCCCCTCCTCTGATTTAAAATAACAGGACATTAAAACACCCCTACATTTAGAATGGACGAGGCTATTTTCATTCACTGCCTGCATGCTCGCAATCAATGAATGCCTTAAAGCGTGTGCACCGTGCTACTTCGTGTATAGTGGCTGTGGCTTAGTCTTAGCTGGTTCCAGCCTTTCGAGGAGACTCTACGCATACCGACTTGAACCAGCGATGGGAAAGACTTATGGAACGACAATGAGGCAAAAACTTGGAGGAACCACATCGATCATTCTTCAACACTGATCGATCGTTCCCCCTACATAAATCGATTGTTCCCCTACATTGATCAATCGTTCTTCTGCATCGATTGATCATTCTTCTACATCGATCGATCGTTCCCTACATCGATCTCTTATGATCGATGAAGAAAGAGTGATGAAAAAAGATCGATGAAGAAAGAGCGATGAAAAAAGAGCAATGAAAAAAGAGCGATGAACAAAGACCGATGAACAAAGACCGATCAAGAAAGACTGATGAAGCTACATCAATGCCAACGTTACGTAACCTCTTCCAGTACCAAATAACACGTGTTCCCTGCAACCATAGCCCATCAGCACACAAGGCCACCCCTGTTCGGTACCTGTAAGTCTGGTCCCGAGCCAATTGAGTTGTCTGATGGGTGTTTATATCTAGTTTACTTGTCATGAAACCACTGAGAATATTTTCTATTTTCCACTGGATGGGATGCCAGATCATTATGAATCGCTCCCTAACCACTATGGGCACCTATTGTTACTCCTAATAACTCAAGTTAAATTTTCCACACTAATAGCATTCCGGCAGAACTATTCTGTAAGAATGCTACTCAAAAGTCAACCCTCATGAAGCTCAGTGCCAAAGGAAACGAAACTATAATTATAGAGTCATGTCTGTCTTTATTAAATTGTTCACCTAAGTAATTGTCTTTGCCATTCTTATAATACCCGTTAATTTGTTTTAAGACTTTATGTTGGCAGATTTATTATGAACTGTAGGATTCCGAAGATATTTTTATGCAGATTTTTTTCTCTGATTGAGTTATAGATTCCTTCCGTTATCCAACCTGGTTTTGACTTATTAATATGACTTCGGAGCTCACACTGTGGAAAATTTTGTCATACACAATTTAAGAAATTCTCGTAGGTCTCATTGACATTATCTGGCGCAAGTTCCTCTTAATCTTAGTTAATGCTTACAGAGTTCCGAGGAAATGTTCACGTTTTTCTCTTTTTTTTTCATTTGTAATAATAGGTTACAAAACTTCTGAAGTTTTTTTGTACATTCATTTTAATCCTCTTACTCATCGGTCAAACGATGATGTCCAGAGATTGTATAGGCGGTTGTAGTCCAAATGCTACGAATGAATCTTTTGTTTCCTCTAAGCATACGGGCGATAGTCTTTTAGGATCAACAAGACAGCCGAGATTAAACGCTCTCTTTGTTTACGCTTAACAATATGCTTATTTTATTTATTATTTTCGACTTCATCGGTGTTAGCTTGGGGTCTCAGGGGATCAGGTAAATGAACATAGGAAAGGGTCGTATTGAAACAAGTTGACAAATTAGATCAAGATATTTTAAATCAGAAGGGAACAGTGTGTTCATCAGTGTTATGGAAGTGCATAGCTAGATAAGTAGGTCAAAGAATGACAGAATAGTTCCACTGGTTCAGCCGGTTTTGCCAGAATGTTATCAGTGTGGAAAATAAAATTTGTATCCACCTGGAGTAAATATGTTTGCCCACAGTGGCTAGGGAGCGACCCATAATGAACTGGGGAAAATAGAACATTGTAGCGCCGGCAGGTGCGGCCGGTAGGGGCACCAGCTCGGACCCGCAGGGAGCTAGCTGGCTGCCCCCGCTGGTATGCGAACGGCCCACGGTTTTCCCGCCTCGCACCTGCGCAGTCCCCGCCTAGACGCCTCATGTCTAGAGGTTTTTGGATCGTCACAGTGTTGTACGCTAGAGAAATAAAAGTAAGGTTTCTTGGCCAAAACGGCAATTTGTGGCTACCTGTGTCTGTCTGTGTAAGCGTCAGAACCCTGTCAGTAGGACACGCTACAAAATATTCTCAGTGGTTTCATGACAAGGAAACTAGATATAAACACCCATCTGACTACTCAATTGGCTTGGGACCAGACTTACGGGTACTGAACACGGGTGGCCTTGTGTGCTGGTGGGCTATGGTTACAGGGAACACGTGTTATTTGGTGCTGGAAGAGGTTACGTAACATTGGCATCGATGTAGCTTCATCGGTCTTTCTTCATCGCTCTTTTTTCATCGCTCTTCCTGCTACAAGAGATCAAAGTACTGATCACCTTAACAATGAGCACATCCATTAAACTGGATGTACAATGAGCACCGGCTCACCCAGCAGCTCGTGCTCTGGCTGAAATGGATAAACACAACAGTCATTAAAAACCATGCAAAAAGAAGAAAAGACAATACAACATGAGTGTACAACCTGGATTTACTGGTTCTCAGAGGGCATTGGGAGTATTGAGAGAGGTGGAGAAAACGGATTAAGTTGTGCTTCCCCAATGACCTTCTTCCAATTATGGTCAATATTGGCTTCCATATCAATGAAGTGGTTAATGATAAACCAGCCATGCAAATTTGGGCATTCATTCATTACCTTTAGCACCCTGTTCCCTATTATAAGGGAAAAAATTCTACTTTTTCGAAAAAAACTTCTCTAAACAAGTAGTTGGTGATGTCCTCTTTCATATTAGAAAGAAAAGAGAACAGTGGCTTTGGTTTTTGAGGGAAACTTTTGAGTATAACGGCAGCGTACATGACCTCCCCAAAGACAGCTTTGTGATCGCAAATGGTGCACGATATGCAGCAGCAATTTTGACCACATGTCTGGTGTGGACGTCTACAAGTACAAGCTCTACAGACTGTGCACAGTGTTATCGAATAGGCCTTTTGTGAATAGGCTGATGCCCATATCCCACTTCACACCTTGGGCATTGGTGTGTAACGGGCACCGTACAACGCTACCGTGCTTGTCTGTGCGACATGACCGGGTTCAGCCACTTTTCTCTATTATGAGCCTGCGATTTGGGTTTATAACAAAAATCCATCCAGTAAAGGGAGGCAGTAATTTTTAAACTTTGCGGTATCTGGTCCATGATAAACTGAACAAATTTTTGCATTTCTCTCACAAATAGTCCTTTTTCATGATGGAATTTTAAAAAAAATCTATTGAAGGGAAAGGTTTTACAAGTACAGTGTACATGTAGATTAAAAAAATGGAATGATAGCATTACAACCCCATGTAAACAAAAATGGCAGCAAGTCACACAAAGTAACATATGTCAGCTACATACATGTACGTGCACATGTACACTGACATGAGACATGGTTCACCATGTTCCCCATACCATAACCATTTAACCACAATGTTAGAGCAAGGAAACAGATTAGGCCGGGCCTCGTGCCTACTTACTCACGGTTTCCCTCACGGTTTCCCTCAAAATTTTCCTAAAAACTCAAAACCCTGCCCTCTTTTGACAACATTAATCCTACAGAATGATGTCACAGTCATCTCCCAAGGTGAATTCAAAAGTTAAAATGTAGCTCTCCCATCTATTATAGGAACAGAGTCCCCAAATTTACAATCCCCAGTTTCAGAAGTATGCGGGCAGTGGACGGAGATCCGGGATATTCAGTCTCATCATGGCCTTAGATTGGACATGCCGCACCTACATGTACATGTGTACCACGTCACTCTTTTTTGATTTTGGACGGGTGCAGTCTTACTAACGCTACATGACATTACATGGTAAAATGGCAACAGTTAACAAAAATTCCAAAGACTCATCAAAAATACCTTTTTCACCACATACATACTAGCTTTCTTACATGTAATTGCCAAAGGTGAACTTTTGGGGCTTCAATGCTACTACACCCTGTATATATCGGACTTCGAAATCTGTCAAAATCCAAATGGGGCACAAGACATACAAGTATTGATCAGGAAAAAGTTGTTGGTAGCACTCTCAAACGTCAAAATCAACAAGTCTTGTGCCCAGACCACGTATAGGCCAGTCATGCATGTGTCTGGGAGGACCACGCTCGCCCAGAGTTATTGCGGTAGCAAAATCTCGACACACGTATTTGAATGGGAGGAAGCATCGAAAAGTTTAAGTGTCGTGCATGTGTCGAGCAAAACCAGTCTGATTTTGTTTGCCTGTAGCAAGTACATGTAGGCTAGTACTAGTAGGCCTAGTAGTAGTACATGTAGGTGGTGTTAGGTATTTTTGGTGAGTCTTTGGAACTTTTGAGATACATGTACGTTGTCACTTTACTACTGAATATGTAATGTCGTGGAGCGTTTGCCCTGATCCCATCTAAAAAATGAAAAAGAGGAATACTTACACTCCTCTAAGTGTCACTCTCAGTAGAACATGTACACATGGTCAGATTGTACATGCAGGCTACGTAAATACCGCTGAATACTAGCACGACTAGTCCAAGGACATGAAGGAGTCGGACACTTCATCTCACCTGTATAAATACAAGAAGTCAATTAATCATATAACTTTCCTGAAGAGAATGTATTTGCGTCATCCCGTCAACCTTTTTATTTGGATTTACAATTAGGGGGCTTACATTTACATTGTAGCCTACCTGTGTGCCAGCAAATGTTTCAAACCTTTTAATTAATTCCCGATTTGCGCATGCCGCTGCCAACATTTACCAATAGTGCCCTCTAGTGATAACAAATATAGCGCCCTCTGTTGAATCAATATTTACCGCCCTCTGTTGACGAAATGAGTGGCGCCCTCTATAGAACAAAAAAGTGAGATGGCACATTTTTATATAGCGCCCTCTATGGGATAGTAATTGCCATTGTCAACTTACAGGCAACAGCGCCCTCATGATTCCATCGAACCGGGGGGTACTGTTGAGTATGGCGCCCTCTAGGGAAATGTAAAAAGTTGGCAGAAAAATTCAACAGCCCCCTCTACTGACCTGATCATTGAAATAACCAGCAGTTTTTTAATCGGAGAAAACAGAGCACAATTAACGCCCACGGCACTCCCCAAGTTTTCGTCTCTGCTCCGCAGCGCGAGTCGATTCTATGGTTGCACTACCAACAAGTCCGCGCCCAGTTGCAAAATCAGACCCATAGAGTGCCGCCTACCGACTCTTGGGAAGAGGTTGGCCTCTGTTTTTTCACAGGAAGGAAATTCAACATTAGGGCCAATTCAATTTTATGGGGGTTGATTAGCCACAAATTTTTTTTTTGCCTTTCCCCGAAGATACCGCCAAAATAGTTGTAAAACTATGTGCTCAGCTCTGAATGCAGTCGCCTGCCTCTGTCCAAAATAGGCCCGCAATGTGGCAGCTTTTTCTGAAAGAAATACTGAACTATAGGGACTGTCAGTCCCTAATACGAGATTCAAAGGAATATTTCTATGATCCCTTCTGATTATGGCATGTTTTATTGTAAAAACCCCGTGGGATCACAAAATATTAATGAGCTCGCGCTTTTAAATCCAACGATATGGTGGCATGCACCCTTTTTAACACTTCAGCTGATCTTTGGTGGAAAAAAATTGTCTTAAGACAAAGAAAATTTACCTGAAATGAGATAACTAATTCAACAATCACAATAATTTGCAGGCTTTTCAAAGGCGGACTTAATGATTGCAACTGCTACTGCAAGTCTGTAGTGTTGTGTGGTTGCATGCATTGTCATTGCAAAGTCACGCAAAGGGGTCACCCTCTTCAGCCCTCCCCTATAAAAGTCGTAAGGACTGGAAAGAAACCGGCATAACCACAAGAAGTAGATAGCATATGATCTGAAATTTATCTGTTGCCTCGTTTGCTTTTTTCCAGCCTTGGGGAGGGGGTTAATTGGTTGAAAGTGCCAGGTTGGGAAATTTCTGACAAATTTCTGTATCAACCATGCCACTGGGATACAATACCCAAAAACCAGTCAAAAAACAATCAAAGCAATTTTATCTTCAACCATTTTTGTCTTTTTGCCATCGCAATGATCACGCTCATATCCATTCATTTTACAATTTCACCTACGAAATATACCTGAGGTTTAACACTACAAAAGGGAAACAATAGCAAGTGGTGGTTGAAATGAAACAATAGCACTGCAAGTCTCATTTATTCTGCCGATGCAGCACGCGTGCAAAACAGAAAATGTTCACTTAATATACATGGAATAAAGAAGACACTTCATAACCAGAATTGCTCACCACCTGAAAGCATCATGGCACGTTACAGAAAGGACTTGTGTAAGATGAAAAGAACGTGGTTCAAAAAAGGTAGGGCTCAGTCATGTACTCTGATGAAACAAAAGGCTGAGGTTTCAGCATCCTATATCTGGCCTACAAATGAACACTTGCATCTAGCCTTGCCAATGGATAAGGGGGGATTTTTCAGTCATCAATTAGGTATAGTGACGCAAAAAAACTGTGATGGTACTGCGACCAAACGTGGAAAAAATAATGCCCATCAGCGAACTGCAGAAAGAAGGGGCAGACAACTTCAAGGGTACCGATTTGTTGATATCAGCACTACAGTTGACACTACTGTTCAAGCTATGCTGGCCGGGACCATCAGTGTCAAAAGCCTGCTTGTGATGGCCGGCCTGAGTTACTGGCAGAGAAGGAAGCACATCAGGGCATTCCTGTTTCAGAAGTGCTGGCATGCAAAAGTGTCACTTCTCAATGGGAAGAAGGAAGCTATACTCTGAGATACCTTGTCAAGCCGGTAGAGGTCGAAGGACAGCTACTCCAAACTTGGCCGTCAAGGTTGGATTCCTCAACGCGGGTACTGCAGCAATCGGGGCAAGAAGACTCTTGACAGCCATGGGTACAACTCTTCCTTCAATAAGTGGACTGCAGAAAATAGCAAGTAAATGTGGGGACATTATTATCAGTGAAAATGTTGGAAATATGGCTGACAAAAGGAAACTGGTTAAAGACATTCAACAGTTACAGGGCTTTGATAGGGACAGGTCCATTGCTGTAGAATTAGATAGGTAATACAACAACCCCTCAGAAACTGCCGGAAGAAAACACCATTTGTGCCGGCAACACAAACTAGGGATGTAGTATGCGAGAATGTATAAGCACCAAGAAATGGTGATAATGTTCCACCATGAGAGTAAACTTTGTAAATGCTCCAATCAAATGTCACACAAATACAGCAAGAAATGAGTAAGCACATGTTCTGAGCACAAAGATTCATGCAGTGCTACACACCCAGAAATTTACAACATGGGGGACGAAAGAGAGGGGGAAATCAGTG